CAGCTCAAGAGATTCCTGATAATCAGACAGCACTTCAGAGGACAGCCAAAACAGTCACTTACTTCTAGTGGATCTGCTGGGGCTTCCATGTCACTCACACCTGCCCATGCGCATCCAAGACGGCCTTGAGCATTTGTTTCACTACGGATCTTTGGAAGAAGAAGAGCAATGAAACAGATACTTTACATTGGCTAAAGGAGCAGGAGAATTGCATTAAGACCCATCTGCAAGTGCTGCCTGTGGAAGCAGCCAAGGTTCAAAAATAAGTGGTGGAATTTTGATTTTAACCTTTTCCTCCTTCCTGGCGGGGGCTTCCCAGAAGGGTTGAAGCACACTGCCTATGACTAATATGCTGGGCAAGGCAGTACTCTGCCTATTGTGCATGTAAATTGCAATCAACTGGCCAATTCACCCCGAGAGAGGAAGTTGCATGTATAAGGGAAGGAAGGGTATGTTTTTTCAGTAAATAAGAGGACCGGGTTTTCTGTCCCTGCTTCCAGTTGTAAAAAAGGACTTACATAAGTATGACAAGTATTAAGTGACACTAAGACAGTGTGAACTATCATGATAGAAAAATTAGTGAGTCATGCTTATAAAAGAGTAACAGCGAAGTCTGTTAACAGCTATGGGGAAAAGCACTCTCGTACAAACTCCAAGATATTTAGGGGAAAACCGTAACTGGAAAATTGATTTACTTTCCCTGAAGAAAAGCTGCACAAAGATGAAGAATTACTGGTATTGTTATTCTTCTCCTATTGTGTTTGCAGTTCTAGTACTTACCTTATCTAAGCACAGATCTAGCTTCAAGCTATTTGTGTCTTCACTTTAGTACTCAAGGAACTCAGCACTTCAGACTTGTGTCTTAGTTTCCCATTTGGAAAAAGAGGTTAACCTTAGCAAGTTAAACTCACAGGAAAGATTAACAAAGAGGCCTCCACAGACTTCACATACAAAGTCAGGATGAAATAGAAAAGCGCAAAGCATTGTTGTTTTCAATCTTGGAATTCTGAATAATGATGGATTGGAGAAAGAAGCGTGAAAGAAAAAATCATTTTCCTTATTGTGGAAAGATCCCAGGGTCTGAGGCTTTTTCAGTGGGGGCAGAGGTTCCTTATTTCCTTTTGAAGGAATGGAACAAAAGCTAGTCTATGAAATTTGACATAAAATAATATAAATCTGTGGGAGTTCTTTCAATTTCCAAAAAAGGATTTAGACAAAGTAAAGTAATCCTGTGAAATGCTGGAATTTAACAGCCACATTCCAGATCTCTGGTCCATAATGTATGACTAAGTAAATCCTCTTTTGCAAAATACAAACCCCAATTTGGAAGAAAGCTACTATTTTAGAGTATTTGCGTACAAAATATATCCTCCCTACCCTGATGTTCTTTTTATTTTTTCCTGGTTTATGGAGCAGCTGGAAAACTCGTGGGGTACAAAGAGAGAAATTAAAAAACAAGCGTTGTTTTAATAAAGACATTTTAGATTCTACATAGGACTCATCCTACCCATCACAAAATAAAAGCATTTCATCTGTACCTATACCAAAACTAGTCTTTGAGCATATCCCTCCCAGGTACAGCATCAGTTTACAGAAGGAAGAACTACTGGCTGATAACACAACAGAAATTTCCACAATTGCATTTCTTGACATTTCTGTAGTGATTAATATGTTGTAAGAAATACGAGCCAGTAGCTGCCAGGCAATGGAACAAAGTAAACCTCTGTACATGTATCACGAAAGCAAGGTTAAGTGAAACAGGAAGGCCTTCCCCCGGGAAACCGACGTGCGAGAAGGTCAGCTTCTAAAAATGAATAAACGTACTGTGCTACCTGAGAGAATATAGTAACAGATAAACCATAAAATCTCCATAGTGGAGAAGGAAGAGGAAACACCACGGATTTTAAAAATGAGACCAAGTATTATAATATTATTAAAAGTTTATGTCAAATCAAAGCTTACACCTAATGACTTCAAAGATCTTTGCAGAAGTAGGCAATAACCCTCTTATAGACATAGGGAAACAGACCAACTGAATGCTAAAGGTCATCCAGATGTTACTGTCAGATCAGAGAATGATGATGTCTCCTTTCACCCACAGTCTGTCCATCTGTCTGTCACAGCCGTGTCTGCAGCATCCATTAGCAAGCTGCCACTGCATAATTTTTTGTTCTGACTGTACTAAAGTTAGGGCTGATGAAGAGTCAAGAGGCAGCTGCTGAAGGAGAGGGTACTGTAACTAGGCACAAGTGACACAAACAGCAATGATCTATCATCTTCTTACAATGTCCTGCTACCTTGTGCTGACCTGCTACAGTCCTATAGATTATAAACTCATGGAAACAGAGTCTGACTATAAAGTACCAACATTGAACATCTGATTCATAAAAATACAATCAGAGAACTTCCACGTTGCACATCTGCTCTCGAGGGCAAGGATTCTCAAGCACAGACACCTTCCCTTATGCCGGCTCCCATGCTCAGCAGTCCCACCCCCATCATTCCAGCAGCAGCTAAGCTTTGGGAGAAAGCTTAGGTTGAATGGCTGCATTTTATGGTCTGGCCTACTAAGGTAAACCAGCCCCAGTTTCTGATTTCCTCACAACAGCCGCGCTGCGATATGCTAGGTGAGGTGCCAAGTGGTCCCTGCGGCAGGGACAGAAGAGCAAACCCAGGGCACAGCCCTACTTGAGAATCACAGCTCCCACCTGAAAGATATTAGTGCTCAAATTACTTTGAAGAGAAGATGAGGCTAAGCCCCTGGAGTGCACACAGTTGTTACCATTACCTAGTTCAAAAGAGTCTCCTGGAAAGCTAAGTAGTTTCCTGGAAAGCTAGGTGGGCATTAGGACACCAAGTCCTTTGTTGTTGATATCTTAATGACCATATTAACCACTACTGAAAGTGAATGATTCTCTCTTGGACTGAAGGATTTTAAGGTGCCACTTATAGGGACTTTAACTAGTTGCAACACTGTTCCTTTCTGATCTTCCCCCCTGCCCATGACACAGAGAGAGCTGGGGAGACCTGGGGGAAAAGGTGAAGCTCCTAGAAGAGTAGAGGCTAGAACAACAACAGCATCTCCACATCTCCCCCTTTCCATGCCAAAATGACCTGCACATTCACCCATTTTCACTCTCTGTGAGCCTCCCATAGTGACTGAGCAGCCATAGCTGTTGTCCTTTCCCACACTAGGGCTATGCATAAGAGTTTTGAGTCAAGTTTTGCTGTTTGCTGAAATAGCTGTTGTTTGCATGCAGTTTGGCACTGTCAGTGAATGCAATTTATACTGGCCTCATTTATAGGGCAAATCTTTCACCTAACATTACTGTCTTGTTTGAAAGACATATTGCTCCCTGCTAACAATCAATAAGCTCTGAGCCAGGCATGCCTGTGTGGAAGCTCTTAGCTTTGCTACTGGCCTTCCACCCTATGCATACACGTTAAAAACAATGCCAAATTTTCTTGCATCATCTTAGCTGTTGCTCCTCACTACAAGTATTTTATACAAAACATGACAGAATAGAAATGACATTAAGTACTCTTCAGTGCCTAGCTAGGCAAGATTAGCATTCATACGGATAACGCTGATGCCCCTTCGCACAGTGCCTAACGTCAAATACCTTGTAAGAGACTTGATAGGAAATACATCTCAAGGGTGACAATGTGCTGTTCAAGAACAACAGTGCTGTTCAGTTGTGTGAGCAGCTCGGTGGGAGATAGGTACCTTGTTCCCTCCCTCACAAGTGCTTTTCTGTACTGATTGCCACATAAGACGTATTCCACGTATTGGAAAGAGAAGAGTATGTCTGAAATCTATATGAATAGAAGAAATACCGATGCGTAGGGAACAAAAGCTCAAGCTTTTCAGAGGTGGTGGTATTCTTCCAGCAAAAACTGGGAGAGGTTGAAGCAAAATTGTTGTCTCTCTCTTTCCTTCATAGCACTGAAAAGGAAGACAGGGAGATGACAACATCCATTTTCTTTGGTATTGCAGAGATAAAGACACTACATTTGTTTACCAGTTTACTGCTACACAATCAAAAACAACTTAGTTGTACAACAGCACTTCAGAAATCTGAGATACATAAAAATCCTTGAAAGGAGGACTCTTTTTGACAACCGTCAAACTTCAGAAGTCAAAAAAAGAAAAATATTTTTAAGGCATTTATATTTGGTTTGAAACTATTGAATCAAATATGCAGTTTTAAATTGCTTGGATATTCTAGTTGAAGACCAGACGGTAAATGCAGTCGCAAACCTAAAAACTGTTTACAGATCCAAGCAAACTTTCAAGAAGCTATTAAAATTTTCCAGCCTGCAAAACATAACCAGACCAGTTGAAGATTTCAGAGGAAAATTTGTCCTAGTGCTACCCCGTCACAGGAAGCTCAGGAAACTTCACAGGAAGCAAAAATGACAGCTGAAGAGGGTGTCTGCAAAGTCTGAACAGGTCTGCACAAAACACCAGGAAAGTAAATTTTGGAGGAAAACACAGACTTAGCAGTGTTGTCCAAAGGCAAGGCAGTGTATGTTTGCTAGGTGTCACACTGTTTGGAAAATGCCTACAGAGAAGACATCCGAGGAGAAACTAAGTGTGCGTGTTCTGCACAGTGGGAACGATGTCAGCCATGCGCTGTGCTAAGAGTACGTCCATCGGTGCTAACGAAGGCGAGTGCTCCCCGGGAGCTGCCTGAGCCACTCTGGCAGCCACGGACAGAAACGGCACCGCAGACGTGGGCAGTACCCCAACTACTGGGTTGGACATGCTGGACACTGCCATGCAAATTAGCACCACCTCTAACACTGCAGTAAAGGGCTTGGGGGGAAAATCTATTCACTCTCTTGTCACAGACAACTAAAAATCAGATTTTACCGTGGTGAAATCATACCTACTTTAGCCACTAACATGCAAAATCAAGACCTGCTAAATGTGATGTAACAACAGTGACAAACTGGTCAGCAAGTTTTATAAATCCCAACCTAATGCTTGCATGAACCTCAATTTCCCTGATTACTTCATCTCTTCCTCTTTAAATGAACAAGTCAGTCTGTGTCACGGCATTTACTGGTTACACTAAAAAAAAAAATTCACGAGAAAACAGACTACAGGGAATAGTCTCTGAGTGGAGAAATATAAACTTGGCAA